GCTGAAGTGCCTAATGATGTAGAGATGGAATTTCATATGTATCCTGCTTCTGCACTAGTCTCTCAGTGTTCTCACTTAAAGGACAGGGGAAAGCCAGTTTTGTCTCTCCTCTGCTAGCCACTGCAATTTCAATTCTGTGTCTATCCAGGACCTGAGCTCTCTTTTGAGAGCTTTGTGTAAAACTGCTCATGTACAGCTACACTGTTTATTTTTTGGTTGCCAGCACTGTCTTCACAGCACATGCTTTGGGCAGTACATTGCAAAATCAAAATGGAACAGCTTTTTGTTTTGTTTTAAATGCATGACCACGTATTTGGAGAAAAAACCTCCACTTCTCAGTGTAACTGTACCAAATATTGCTGTCCCAGTCCATTCACTTCACTGGCAACCTACGACAAATGGCCAGGACATGAGCGCTGCTTGGTAACAGCAAAAAAAATATGACACATAAACAGGAATAAGGATAAAACAATTTTCTTTTCATAGACATGGTAGAAGTATTCAGTGTACTGTGTAGATTAAACAACTATAAAGAAATGGCCTACACAAGTTGTCTAAAATTAGGGATACTGCATTTGCTCCCTAGAGTGGTGCATTGGATTCCTCGCTGTTGGCAGTGCCTTCTTGCCAATGCACCACCTCAAATGAAGGAATATCCACCCCTTGCAGGATGTCTTTAACACAAATTAAGTGTCAGGAGATGGTTGGCCCTTTCTCTCAGCCACGGAGCCTGGTATCTCCCGTGAGACCCACACAAAATCTGTGTTCCTGCCATACAGGTTCCCGTGTAACCAAGCAGCATGGAACACCTACAGCTCAGAGTCGATTGGTAAGGAAAGGGAAGTGTGGCTGTAGCCAAACACAAGATGATGAAATAACAACAGCAGGCCAATGGAAAGAGGAGAAACAACACAAGGTGTGATGTGCATGGTTGGACACTAGGTTTCCTTGACCAGCTTTGCCCAGTTTCAGTATAAGGTATGTAATGGATTCACCCATTTGCTTGGTCATCGAGTGACAAGGGCAGCTGGGTCTTGGCCTTGGTGATTGTGTTTTATGCACAACTGTGGTGATGGCTGTTTCCTCAGCAAGAAACCAAATAGCTCCCAAAAGAATGCTCTACTCACAATGATAGGGATGGTGTTGGCTCTGGAGAGGATCTGCTTGACCAAACGATACCTGTCATACAAGGGCTTCATTACCTGTCGTTCATTTTTGGTAACCTGAAAAAGAAGAGAGCGCCATGAAGCCTGCAGCAGAAACTTCACCCTATAATGCCCGTGCCTGTGATTGCTCTTGGTCAGAGGGGGCTTGAAGGGAATTTCATGAGGATGACAGCTTAGCAGTGTTAGTTCTGAAGCTGGCAATGCAACTGTTTGTGTATGTCACTGTATCTTCTGTCCCAGGTGCCAGATGAAGCAGCACCCAAGTTGTGGGGTGTCCTGTAAATGTGGGTATGCAAAACAGGTGATTTAAATGACCAGCTCAGGTATAACATGTCCACAGCACAAAATGACTCACAGAGGCTGCAGTTAGTGCTTCAAATCCCATCTACCATTATAAGGCATAAGGTGAGGTTTGCCACCCTTACTCTTGTCACTGGAACCTCAGAAGCAGTGTTGGGTTTTATTTTTTCAATGCTTTGCTACAGCAGAGTCAGAAAACAAGCAAACAAAATACTCAGCAGAACTAAACTGACCATCATCTTTCTTCGTATTCTGCACTGTCTGACCCATATCCTATGCCTGTACTTCCATTAGATCTTTGGTCTAACTTTAAAGCTCCTATGAGGGGAAGCTTTAACTGATTCTCATGTCATGCCTATCTTCCTCAAGGCTTTTTACTGCTGCTAATTACCAAAGCCCCTGAAGAGCTGCTATATAAACGAAAACAAACAAAACACCACCAACAGTGTAACCCCTAGGGAGCTTTGTAGAGTCTCCCTTTCTACAACAGAAACAGAAGGAAAGGTAATAGAGCTTGACACAGGGAGGAAACTTTAAAATGAACTTTCATTTTGCCTGCAGTTTACTTTCACTGGAGTAAGTTTTCTAAAGCTTTCACATCTTCTCTCCAGAGCAGGTGAGGGAGTATTGGTTTGCAAGGAACAGAAGTGCTATCCACAGGAGTGGGACTGGCAGGGATGAATCTGGAGGTGGCATCTTCCTCCAGATAACTAGATCAGTTTCCTAAGTTGGAGGCAGATGAATAGGGGGGAAGAAGGAAGACCTATTCTTTTCTGGGTTCAACACAAGCATTCCCAAGCTGACAAGGGCCATACAGATGGGCAGCCTGAGCTCTAGGGCCTGCATGTCCCACACCTCCAAAGCACAGTTGGGCTCCAATACTCAACAGCCTCAAGCTGGCTGTTCTTGAGTAAGCAGCTCACCCGGATCAGAGAGATGTGAGCAGCACCAAGGAATTCACTCAGCCCTCCTTGTGTTGAGTTTTGTGTTGATGTGTTGGCATTGATTACACTGGCTAGCAAGTTGCCTTCAACTCTGGATATTTCTCTGCAACCAATCAAGCATACAACTGGAGAAACTGGGTACTCTCTCTATAAATATATTATTCCTAGTTTTTATAGGTTAGCAGCTAGTAGAACAGGAGGCACTGTTGGCACTACTGTTGGCTCAGACAGCTTTTATAATTTAAAAAGAAAAAAAAAAGACTATGCTGAGGCTGTGAAACAAACTTGCAAGTAACATTTCAAAGCTGATAAATAGCACTATTCTGTACAGAAAAACAAAAATAAGCTTCGGAATGGGCAAAAAGATCCTTAGGTATGTTGAAGAATGGAAAAAATAAACAACATACTTCAGTGTCTGAATATCAGTATGGAGGAAAAACACAAATAATTAATTTAGGCATTGGAAGTTAAGAGTATGGGCCTGACTCAGCCCTGCAGACTTACACCAGCACACTGAACAGAAAGCAGATTCTGAAAGAAAACATTTAGTACATGGGCAAACTGTCTCACTAGGTAAACATAAGTAATACCAGCAAAACCTAAGTATATTTTGGGAGAACATCAAAATGCAAAAAGACTATGAATAATGGAGCCTTTGATGCAACTCTGGGGCAACTCCACATGGCAAAAGAGCAGTGGCCAATGAACAGACATTGTTAGAGCAGCTCAAGGATTTCTGCAGAGATGGCCTTTTTGGCTTGACTAACAGTTCAGTTGCACCTTTGCAGGTTCATCTATCACTGGTGCAGAAAGACCCAGTCGCACAATAAATCTGAGCTTCATTGTTTTTCTTGTTTGGTTAAATATCTTTAAGAAAAAAAAACAAACAACAAAACTTGGCTGAACTATCCCCATTCTCCTCAAGGTCTCAGTACTTTTCCACTGCTGCAGTGCCAGGAGCTGGAAACTGCAAAAGCTGATCAACTACAGACTTCCTTGCCATGCAGTCAGTGTTACTAGGTGTACTGCTTATTTAAAACGAGACAAATTAAAAAGAAGTTTTATAAATCAAGCGTCAGAACGAGGAGAAAAAAATGTAAATGCTTGCTAACAAGCTAGGCTCTGAATTGTTCTCTTTTTAAACAGATTTAAGTGAGTTCACCTCAGCAAGATTCCACCTGTTGATTTATAGCATTGTGAAAGCATCCAAAGCAGACTTGGTCTCCTGAAGAAGACAGAGACGGTTAAGAGGATTCCCTTGTGCTGGTCTTTTGCGATTTTAGGTAAGAATAAAACCACATGTCCTCCCATACAGCTACGCTGTTTTCCCTTGCTGGTGTTTGTGACTGTGCAACATTAGCACTTCATGAAGGCATTTCAATAAATTAGTCAAACTTTTAAAAAACAATGGACAAAGGAGGAAATAATTCAGGAGCACATGGATAAGGAAGGGATCAGGAATCCCCTGCAGCAGCAGAATGACAGATTTTTCAGCTGCAGTAATCAAGTACTCCTAAGCAGTAATTTGCTTGCTGCTCCCAAGACACTGCTCAAGGAATTATCACCACTCTGAAACTGTGACTTCACCTATACAGCTGGTAGCAAAGATTATAATGTCATCAGTGAAAGAGTAGTAGAGATTCATACAAATCCAACTTGGTGGCCTGGAAGCCACTGTGCTTCTGCCATGGCAGGGATCAATAGGACACAAAATTTAGTTCTCTGTCTTCACAAATAATTTTTGTTTGTTAAGACCAAATGTGCAAGAAATCTCATGCCCTCCACTTCATCATGGGGAAAAAATCACCCAGTTCCAGGGGAAGAATGAAATCTCCTCTCAACTTACACTGTGATTCTCAGGAGACAAACTGTTTCATCTATTGATTCTTTGGCACATGAGGATTGTGCAGATAGCAAGGTGCAGGTGCCTCCTGGCAAACAGCAAGGTACCAGAAGAAATATGCTGTAGCTCCTCTGAGAAGGAGCAACATATGTACACCTGTCTTCCCAGTTAAAACTAGCAAATTGCAAAATTCCTGGGTGGACTGGGGACCACACAAACTAGTCCTGTGCAGACTGTATTCCTGGCAAAGCTGGTGAGTCAGCTGGGCCACAAACTCGATGTCCATGGATTCTGGTAAGTGGGATGCTAAAATAATGCACATTCAGCTTCCTTCAGCCTGTAGGCTTGGTCCTACAGGTATCTGCCAGACTCAGTGCTGTGTGTACGCATCATTGTGCTGAGAACAGACTCCTCAGCAGCAGCAGTAGTGAAGGATCAGGGCAGTGGATTAGAGTGACTGTGACACCAAAGGAGCATTATGGGGACCATTACCACAAAGGCATATAAAGATGTACTTTGGAAAAAAATGCTGCTGTACTTACTGGTCTGCCATGAATGCTTTCATAATACAGCAAAGCTTTTTGAAGAGACACCTTCTCAGCTGCTATCTGATCTCTTGTCATGTCCTGTGAAACGTGGCACAGAGAGAGGAAGGAAAAAAAAAATAAATGTCAGGCTCCTGGACTCAAACAATATTTATTTGTGGCCTAACCAAAGTCATGTTATTTATCATCATTGTTTTCAAGACTCTCTGCCTTCCAGTCCTCTTCTCCTAACCCTCTGCACAATGCAGGCAGATTAAAACCATGTAACTTTTGCATACAAAGGTATTTTATATACATAAGGGGAATTTATCAATTATCAGTGTGCTTTGAAAATACAATGGTGTGCAACTTGTAAAGATAGAGGCTTTCCTCCAGCTAAGATCCAAAGTGTAACTTCTACAACAAAACATGTTCTTTCTATTCCTCCAAATATGAGTCAAGCTCCAGTACCTGTAGCAAAGCTTGCCATTTCTGCTTTGACTGACACAAACACACTTTACAAGAACTTAAGTACAGTCAGACCACCTCCTGCCAATTCTCCTGTGGAGTGAAAAGCTCTGGCAGACAGTCTGAGGGAATCAAGCCAAAAAAAAGGGCAGACAGTTGGAGAAGACTTCCCTAATTAAGTTTGCCAGAGTTCCCCCACTGAATTTGCCTGACACCAAGCCTTCTCTCCCTATCACAGCAGTAAATACTATCACAGGCCCTCTTTAAATGGCCTGGCTGTGGATTCTTGCTACTGCCAGAAAACAGCCAAAGCACACACTGTGGGTATCTCCTCCTTCTTCTGCAGATCTAGTTAACAAAGATAATGCTGTCTGCCCCTCTCTCACGGAGCGCTGCAAAATTTACATGTCAGCAGACTCCAGGACTTCCCTTACAAGGCTGCCCAAACCTCAGGAATTGGCAACACGAGACACAAAGACCTCCCTACTGATAACCCTCAGAGATTACAGCAGCTAACAGAGCTCAACGTAAAACTCTGAAGAGCAGCTATAAAACGCCCTGACAGAAGGGCATTCAGCTTTGGAGTGAACTGGAAGAAAACAGACGACCCAGTCTCCAGAACTACTGGAAAACCCAGAACTTGAGAGATGTAACAACAGAAATAGACAAACACCAGGCAGGAAATACTGCAATAATTCAGAAATGTTACCTGGACTATATAAGCATCAGAAAAGGAACACACAATGACATTCAACAGAAATCAAGCTCTGGGAAAAAATAATCAGATACTAAAGGCAGAGGGAAAGAAACTAAACAAGTGAGCCAGGAGCAAAGGTTGTAGACTTTGTGACAAAATGTAGAGGATCACAGGGCTTTCACAAGTGATTGTGCAGCCATGAGTTACCTACTTAAAGGCCTAAATCTGATCTCTCTACATTACTGGAGATACCTTAATATCTTCAGGTCGGTTTGTCTCTGTTCGTTTTTCTTGAAGCTTCTTCTGGATAGAATCAAGGGTTGCTTCCACAGCAGGCTTGGCAGATTTATCTGACAGGTCTTGCTTCTTGTCGTCATCCTTTTCAAGCTGAGAACCAAAGCTCTTGGGGAGCGTGTTGCTCCGCTGACGCACAACAGGGCCAAGGTCTTCTTCTGATATCTTCAGTTTTGACTCTAAACAGGGACATTTGGGAGAAGACGAATAATTTTTCTTTTTTAAAACATGACAGGATCACTGCCTAACATCAAACTTAAATGAGGCAGAGTCCAGCTACCCCCCAATGGCGCACCAGTGGTGGCTGCTCACCTTTAAGTTGTTTTCGGAATTTGGCCAAATCATTTGTCCATTTAAGCACTTCAGGGTTGGCTGCTTTGTCACTGTGGGAAGGCTGGGAAGAAAGAACAGACATGCTGTACCTCTGTTAAACCAACAGGTAAGACCCACTGAAACAAATGTGTGTCACAGAAAGAGGTGCACCAGAATTTGGAACCAGAATAGAGCACAGGCATTGGCCTCTGACTGGCACCTCCATACCCGACTAGCTCATTTCTGACCTTGCTTTATTTGCTCCTGCCTGTAACAACAATATCTCTTAGGGGTATAATGACATTTATTTTCTTTTAAGAAAACACAACATTTTTGGTGGCAAACATTAAGTTGTAGGAGTGGCTCAGAGGCCAGACGCACACTGGAATCCTTGTGCCTATTGTTCTGTAACAAGACGGCACTTCCAAAATAGAGGAAGACTAGTACGAACAGTTTGAGAAGTGTTAGGGTGCACATATTCACACCAAAGACACCAAAATAAACCAAATGCTAGGCTACAAGAAGCTCTCAGCATTTCTTCCAGCCCTTTCTACTGCAGGCAAGATACATTCAGTACAATCCTTTGCAGTTTAGATCACCAGCAAAGATGCACAAATAGAAAGTTTTAGTTCCTTAAAAAGCCTTCTGCACATTGGAAGAGCATGTCAGGAATAATCAGAGTTCAATATGTTGTTACTGCTCAGCAGTAACTTGTGGTTCCTTAGAAAGAAGGGAAAGTGGCTTCATCCTGGCTCAAACCAGGACAGGAGTAAAGGCAGCTGTTCTCTCTCTGCAGTGTGCTGGTGCAATGAGATTAGCATCATGCAAATGAGATCTGGAATTGTGCTTCCCAGAAGCTGAACTTGGATAAATAATCAGAAGTTTAATACAGCTCTTCCTACACACTGTGTGCTTTTGGCACACTGTCTAAAGCAGTGATCAAAATCCTTTAAGTTTATTGGGCTCTCTCTTGTGCTGCACTGATAGCACCATAACGTGTGGGAAGCTAATTTGCTTGGTACGGATGCACATCTTTTTTTTTGGGGAGCAGCTTTTTTCTTGTATTCTTTTTTTTTTCTCCTTATGAAAGCTTTCAAGCCCTCTGTATGTTTGACAGACTTCTCCAATATCCCTTCTCTTTGTTTCTAATGCATACCTCTCCAAATAAGTAATTAACTCCTAAAGACTCACTCTGTATTTCCTCTCCTCTTCGAATTTGTCCTCAAATCTCCTGATTTTTTTCTTCAGTCCCTGGATCCTCCGGGTGAGTTGCGCTGGGGTAAGGTCCTCTCTGTCATCTTCATAGGATCCCAAAGATGAACTCCGCCTCCTACAAAGAACAGAAATTGCAGAAGGACCTTATCCAAACTGCCACACCACATTCTCATGCAGAAAAGGACAATTAAACTTAGTGTAAATAAAGGAAAATCCCACAGAAGTGAGAAAGCTATGTTGCTACTTGGTAAGGACAGATTGAAGATGCTGTAACAGCCTCTTTCAGCAGCTGCAACTCCGTAGAATTAAGAAACACAAAAATGACTAGTTGCCAAGAATTTTCTAAAAATATCAGTTTCCCATCAGTAGGAACAGAAAGCCAAGACAGTAAAGCTATCTGGCATATATGATCCAGAGATGTTGCTTGATGCAACTGTGCAAACCACCCTTTACAGCTGGGTGCAAGAGTCAGCACAGGCGAATCACAACCCACCTCATGAATGAGTGAGAATTGGGAGGGGAAGGAGGCACTTCTGTATCATCCAGGTACTGTTGGCTCTGTCCATAGGCATAGAAGCGAGGGGACAGCATTGGATCACTGTCCTCATCCAGAAGCTGCCGTATCAAGCGACCGGCCTGTGGGGAAAGGCGAGCCTCGTCTGAGTCTAAGCCGTCTCGCTGCCATGAGGAAAGAGCAGGGATGGGCTCTGGGAACAGCAAAACAAAGGCTGGTTTTACTGTTTTTGCTTTACATGTACAAAAGACTCCAGGCAACTTTTCTAATGAACCCTGACCCATTATGTCCTGGACAGCAATTCCTTGTCACCAGGCATTCTCTAGGTCATTACTTGCATACGCCCAGTGTGCAAAGCCATGCAAAGCACTGCCTGGACACAGTGGGTACTCTACACAGACATAAATAATCCCCTAGGTGCAACAGAAAACTGCTACTTTGAGGAAAAAGTTATGCTGGACAAGACAGAATGGACAAGACAGAACTATTAGCACGTGGCAGTATAAATGAGGCAACTGGATTGCAGGAGGATTTTTTTCAGTTTCAGGATGTATGAATGTTGTAAATGAATAGTGTATCAATTGTCCTCCCACAGCCTCCAGCACTCCAATATGACCCCACCACCTGCTACTGGAAATTCAAAGACTAAGAGAAAGCTTAGGTTCCTCTAGTCTGCAAGGAAAATGTGTCTCACATTACTACCTGTTCCACAGGCTGCCTAGTCTGTAAATTAACAATGATGGTAAAATGGTCCAGTTTCCCTCTTTTATCCTCCACATGCAATCCTGCAGCTTACCAGCACAGAAGAAAAGTGAGGAACCCTTCAATTCCTTAGACAATCTAACCAGCTTGAAGTAACAGCAATGTTCTACAGTGAGTTGGTGGAGTAGGAGAATGGGAAACCCAACTTAGCATTGCTTATTAGCATAGTGGAGCCCACAGAAAGCAATTGCCTCAATCTTGTGATCACTCCTTCCAGATGCCATAAAGAGTCTAAGGTTTTGTGCTCAGATAGTTTACTAAGCTGATTTGCATGCTCCTACTTAGCATCACAGGATTACACAGTTTAAGAGCCAGGATTTAAACCTATAAATCTAACAAATAGTTCTAGAGTCAACTAACAAAACAAAGACCTTATAGAAAGCTCCCAGTATAGTTGCAGAGCTATGGACTCATTATTTCCTGTGCCTAAGTGCATCTACTCTTTCATGAGGAGAAGGGGCTTTTGACATTATATATTTTTTTAAAAAAAAGCAGTATTTCCTTTTGCTGAATAAACATAATACTTTCATAGCTCAGAATGGATTGCATGAGGATTCCCTTACAGAGCCCTTATGCTGTTTAATATTCTCCCCTCCATGTACAATTCAGATAGCACAAGATCATCCACAATTCAGTCATGATGGGCTTGGTGGTATTTTTCCCTGTACGCAGCATCAAACAATGCTCTTCTCCTCTTCCCCCCTTTCTTAGCACATGGATATAAATGGCACACCTCTGCTTAGGGGTTGGTGCTGCATGCAAACTGATGTGCTGCTCTGAAAGGGATGGCTGGAGGTTTTTGCAGAAGAGCCTCTTGCGGGTGTTGCGGTAAGAGAAGCACAGACAAGCCTGGCTTGCAGAGGCTACTTCGATGAGGTGTGCAAGTCCCAAGTGTATGTAGGCTGTTTTGCCATGGATTGGAAAGCTTATGCAGCCTGTGTTTCCCTCAGTTAAACTGCTGGGACAAGAGTTTTTTCTAAGCTGCATTCAACCTTGGCAGTTCCTAATACCTGAAATATTTTGCTCAAGGAATCTGATAAGAAGGAAGGTGAAATGAAGGGCAAACTCTTCAGCCAAGCTGCGACACTTTAGTGTCACACACTTTCATGAATCTCTCATGGTTTCAGGAAAGTCCTCACAAGATCTCTTGTACTAAAATGAAGGCTAGTAAACACAAAAGGAATAAATTTGATACATGTGTCTAGCAGAAATGAGTTTAACAGATACATATGCTTCTTCCAGACATTGCCTACTTCCCATTTTTGGAATACAGCCTCACCCTTGAAACAGAAAGAAAATGTTAAATCATACCTCCATGGGATTTCGTAGGTGGAATACACCTACAAGAAATCAGTAGCGTATACAGAAGTAACACCACATTAAGCTCCTACCCCACCAGCTAACAAAGCCATTATTAATCATGCATGATGCATGTGACTTTGTCCCAAGGTGGATTTATATACCAGATAGCACGCAACATTCAGGGAATTGCAATGGCTCAAAGAGCCCCTCATCAACCCTAAAAGACAGCAAAGCACTTTATGCAAGCTAGTGGAGACTGAGGTATGCATACTCTCTGTTTTGTTGATTTCAAAGTACAGCCCAAAATTAGAAACTCACCTTCCAAAGGTGAAAATATTAAAAAGGAGAAGAAAGAGAGTCATAAAAAGAAAAATAAAATTTGAAACTTGACAGAAGAAATGGCCACCATAGAAAATCAGCTGGTTTTAACCCTTGCTTCTGGGCGGCCTGACTCCTACTGCTGACTGCAAGTACTTAGAAGAAAATAATCTAGTCTGGACACAAAATGGCTAGGCTTCCAGAATTTAACTAAGGAACATATTCAGGTATGTAGAATTATGGATTTTATCTACATCTGATCACAAAGTGGACCAAAGCTGTAGTCCAACTCTCTCTCATGCTGGCCGCATGTTAGGTGCTTCAGCTGGAAGCCCTGGAATTGCTGGATTGCACAAATATACAGGAATCCACTAAGGGTAAACTGCCACTGTTCCTGATAGTGCACAATCATTCAATTCCTCTTTAACAAAATACATAACATCTTTTGTTATTCATTTATCCAAGATAGCTATCAGAGTGTTCAGCCTTTTCTGAAGGCAGCTGAATTTCTGGACTTGATGGTTCAGGTTTGATTTATTTGCTGTCATGATTAAAGTTGTCACTCTTTTCCCTTTCTGCTAATTTCAAAATAATATCTCAGTAAAGAATGTAAATGTTTCACCTTTTCTTTGCCACTGACTTGGCAGACCAGTTACCCTCATTTATTTTCTGTCTTAAACACATCACTCTTGCTCAGAGAAAAGTCAGCTTTCTACTCATCTCCCCATTCCTTCCATGTCATATTTTTTTCTCCATTCTCCATAGCGACAATCTTTCATGATGAAAAAAAATTCTATTTCTTGGTCAGATTCTTTATGTATTTCTTCATGGTATGCCTTTTCTAAGTTGTCACAGAAGTAGTGAAATACTCTCGTACTGAGCCTGCAGTCCATCTGAAGTGCTGCACTCCCTCTCAAAAACCCACAACCAGCTCATCTTTCAACAAAGCTGTCAGCCACGTGCCAGGTGTTGCTCTGCAGAACTCTGTAGGCACACACATGCCTATGGCAATATAACCTCTCTGCCAACCTGACATATAGAGGGCTGGAGATATTAATAAACCTGTATCATGAAAGAAGGAAGAAAGATTAATTGTACAAAATCGGTGTATTACTAGAACCATAGAATTGATTTGTTTGGAAAAGACCTTTAAGATCATTGAGTCCAAGCATTAACCTAACACCACTAAACCATGTCCCTAAGTACCACATTGACACACCTTTTAAATACCTTCAGGGATGGTGACTCCACCACTTCCCTGGGCAGCCTGTTCCAGTGCCTGACAAACCTTCTGGTGAAGAAATTTCTTCTCCTATCCAATCTAAACCACTCCTGGCACAACTTGAGACCATTTCCTCTTCTTCTGTTGCTGTTAGTGAGTTGCAAACTGTCTTGCTGACAAAGACGTTTTTATAATCTTTTTGATCATATTGTATATTAGCCACAGGGCTACTGGGGGCTGCAGAGCAAACAGAGGGGTGCCCACACACACATCCACCACATGCAGCTGGCAAAATGCTGCCAGCATCTCCCATTCCCATTTCTGAAGGCACAGAGGTGGTATGTGCTGCTAACACTGCTTTTAAACACAACCACCTGACAAACCAAGGAGGCCAAATCTTAGCCACTGTAAAATGAAGTAGGTCTGGAGGGATTAAAAAGGCTAAACTAATTACAACACCTGAGGTCCCAGTATTAAATCCCACTTGAAGCACCCCAGAAAGCCCTCTGACAATGAAGTGAATAAAGCAATATAAATTTCCAAAACATTCACTAGTAACTCAGTAACAATCTATTTTACTCATCTTATAAATGTTTGAAAATATTGGTTGAATACATCAGAAGGTTTTCGTCCTATGTACATCAAAAAGAATAGCCCTAATGAAGCATTAACATGCCTTTTCAGTTAGTGAGATGACACATCTATCCGCTAGTGAGCCAACATCATATTTTGTTTATAATCACAGAATCTTAGGGGTTGGAAGGGACCTCAAAAGATCATCTAGTTCAACACCCCTGCCAGAGCACTTCACACAGGAACGCGTCCAAGCAGGTTTTGAATTTCTCCAGAGAAGGAGACTCCACAACCTCCCTGGGCAGCCTGTTCCAGGGCTCTGTCACTCTCACAGTAAAGAAGATTTTTCTGATGTTTATGTGGAACCTCCTATGTTCCAGTTTGCACCTGTTGTCCTATCACTGGACATCATTGAAAAACCCCTGGCTCTGTCCTCCAGACACTTGCCCTTAACGTATTTGTAAACATTGATGAGGTCACCTCTCAGTCTCCTCCGAGCTAAAGAGGCCCAACACCCTCAGCCTTTCCTCATCAGGGAGATGTTCCACTCCCTTCATCATCTTCGTGGCTCTGCACTGGACTCTTTTAAGCAGTTCCCTGTCCTTCTTAAACTGAGGGGCCCAAGATGTCATAACACGTCAAAATAAACAATGAAAAAATACTTTTTAAAAATACTGGTGCTATGAAATAAAATCAGTAAATAATGCAATAAGTCTTTTCTACACACAGTACTAAAAATGCACTGTGTCATTGTATTTTGATTTCTTATGCTAGAGTGTTACACAGAAATACAGTGTCCACTAAGTCCACAGTGTTGAAAAAAAGAAATACAAATCTAGCTTCCCTGTTGCTATACTCTTTAGTTTTCTTTGCATTACTCTGGTCTGTTTTGTTTTGGTTTTTTTTTTAATGTGAAAGTATCAGTTAAACCAGCATCAAAACTACTTGTGTATCAGCTTCACCCTCAGGGTCTCAGTGCTGCAACACTTGAATTCTCAACACTGAGAACTCAAATTATGTTTTAAACTTCTGCTTTTATTCATTTTTTAAGCTTGAATGTTTGCAGAAAAATGTCTGCTGATGGTCTCATAAGCACTTGTTATTGCAAGCTCTGCTTGAAATCTCATCTACAGGACTATTTTTTTAAAAAAACCAAAACATCAGTAATGCAGGTGACGTAGGCAGCAATCACACACATCGTATCAATTTACTGAACTGCCAGTTCAACTCCAAGTTGCTGACAGGACCAGCCGCTGTCATGGAGAGCAACATACTTCCAGATTTTCCTTGAGGGCAGGATAGCAAGTTCTGGGCTTGAATTAGAAACATTTGGTAAGAAATCTGCACAATAGTGCTGAGCTGTGAGAGAACACTCTGTCCTCCTTGCTCATAGCACTCAATTCCACCGTAATCCACAACAATTAAAAAGCTTTGCTAGGAAGTAGCTCTGAAAATGCTTGCTTGGAAGTCATCTCAGCTGGCACCGACTGACTGCCTAGGCAGGCAAGCCTCATGGTCAGGCATTCCAGTACAGAGAGACAGCTCAGATCACACCCAGCTTGAGAATAAAACTATTTGATTTGCATCTGCCAAAGGCACACCAGTAAAATACTTCTCTTGGACCATGGAAAATGTACCTAGGCTAAGTGTTCAGCTCTTGAATTTGGCTGTGGCACAGCCTGACAATTACTACACATATGGCCTTATATGTAGTGGGTAAGTTGGATGCAGAAAGGAGGCACTTGGCACAGTGAGAGCCTATGTGCTGGAGGAAGCAGGAAGCAAATTTCTCCATCCTCTCTCTGCTTAGCTCTAGGTGAAGGGAACATACTCCGGAGAAGTAAAGGAAATCTCTCCTCAGGTTTGACTGCAGTGAACCTTAAAAAATTATCTGATAAAAATTACTTCTAGCATAACATAACTGGTGGGGGGGTGGGGGATGAAGGGGTCTGCCAGCAATTATTACAGTTCTGTGCCCTTTAGAGAGGGTTTTAAAGGCAGGTCTGGTCTTAACATGGTAGAAAGGCTGCCTGAGTGACAAGTCAAAGCTAGTCAATGGACAAGGTTGCTTTGTGTAATTTTGCGCCCATTCTTCAAGGTCCTTTCCTAACATTTGACTGGAGGCAGTGACAGCTACAGCTGAAGGCAGCCCCTCAAGCTGTAATTGTTCTCACGAGCCATCTGTGAAAGGCCTGACAGCAGCTCTGGTCACTAGAGGCTCTGTACTTCCTGCAGTATGACACAGAGGACTGTGCCTCCCAAAAGTCATCTCAACTTGTCCTGGAGGAACGGGTCATTTCCTGAGAAATGGACCTACCAAATTTGCTAGAGCAGAGCAATAACTAACTCGGTGTTACTGCATTTGGAGGCACAGTCCTTTCCCTCTTCACTGGGAATACAACTGGAGCTGAAGAACAGATTGTGAAGAGATGTGTGAAGCTTTGAGTGACACAGGCTGGCAGGGGAAGGGAGGATGCCCTGGCTGCTAGAGCTGTAGATGAGTGGTACAACCCCGCCTTGCTTAGCCAATCTCCATGATAGACTCTGCCATCAGCTGCAGAAGCAGTGGAGAGCTGATGTTAACATCTTCCCCTTCCTGGCTGCTCAGAGTTTGGTTTCACATCCACAGCTACAAAAGACTCGTTTTTTCCTTGCCAAGACAAAGAAGGCACCATTTTGTTGCTCTTTCATTTGCACTAACAAAATGGTGATTCTGGAAGGCAAGCATTGTAGATGACATCTCTCTCACCCCAGACAGCTGATTCTTTTGCAACTGCCCACCTCCTCCCCTTGTGAAATAGATGTGAACAAAACAGAGGAAGGAAGAATCAGAGAGAAACACTCTTCAAGCACAGTCACATGTGCTCATAATCCTGTTTGCAGGGCGAGCTAGAAACAGCATGCCTACGAAGAGGGAGTTGTACCAAAGGTGCAACTTATTTCATATGATGGGAAAGACTCTGGCAGACAGAAGAGAGCTGTGTTCTCCCCTTCATGCACTCATATGACTCCCAGGAAGAAAAAAAAAATAGATCATTTTTTCCAAAGGTTCACATCATAGCCACACATCACCTCTGAGAACACAGACATGCTCACACTGGCTTGAGACCCTGCGGGGCAGTGTTAATTAGCCTCTCAGCAAACCCATAAGGCAGACAAGGCCTCCTGGGAGCCCTTCCATGGCACTTTGATCAGCCATGCTGCATGTGTGGTGATACCACCCAGGGAATCCCTGCCTTGCAAGCAAGTGGGGAAATTCTCTCCCATGCTTCATGACTAGTTCCTGGCTGAATCAAAGGCAGCCACGACTGCTATTTTTTTTACTCATGCCTTAAGTGTCATAACTACCTCCCTCCTACAGAGGAAGGCAAAATATACTAGGTCACGTACACTGTGGAGGCAGGAGAAGAGAATTTTAACTTCTTAGTATTTCTCAGATATTGTTTTTTTAGAGCAATAAATTATTTACATTTTTTCCCTCTCTTGCTTTATTAAAATACCATACACACATTTTCCTGTCTCTTCCCTGTCAAAGTCCCTCTTTCACTCCTAAAACACAAACTAACAGAGGAATTTTTGCTTATACACAGGGACATCCTCAGCAATTGGAAAAGGGTAGGATCCCAGAGGTGCAGGATGCCTTCAGTTCATTTCAATTGCAACTGAAATTGAGGTTTGTGGCACCCACAGAATTCCCCCAAATTTCCCACTCATATGTGAGCAGGTACAAGCAGCCAACCAAGCATGCACTCTGGAGATGAGAGCTAAGAAACAGAAGTAAAAGAATTTAAACCACATGCAGTTTAACACTGCTATTTGAGCTGGTGATCAGAATTTTTTCACAGCACACATTGGAAAAAAAAAAAGCTGTTTGTAAAAACCATCAAAAGACAAGAGTAGAAGATAAGCTTTTTTTTCTAGCTGTACTTTTCAGATCCAAATGACTATTTCCAAATAGAGAGTGAAGTGGAAGAAAACAGAAAAAGAGGAAGTTCCTCTCAACTGTGAAATATCGCATCTATTTCAAGTGTGGGGCAGTCTAGTTTGATACTTGAGTGACCAGCTACCAAAAAATCAGTTAACCTGAAACGCTCAGGGACTTAACAACACTAAACAGCACAAATAAGCAACGTCAAGAATAAATCAATTAATTTTCTTCCTCTAAGAATTTTGCCTCCAGTTTCTCCAAACTTGCAGTTCCATATTCAGGACAAAAATTCTTTCCTGTTGTTTCTGGCATGGGAACATGATCGCATAAACATCCAGCCCACTCAGGTTTCCCTCTCTCTCGTTTCACTCGTACGACCAAGCCATTACACAATCCTACCTTCCCAGTTGTCATCACACAGTGCTGTCAAATCCAGCCGAGGCACTTCTGACACAAAGCTGTTTTCCTGATCATCAGCATCTTGATTTCTTTGTAACTTGTTTTCAGGAATGCTTGGATGCTCTTGAATCTTCATACTTGAAGTCAGCTATATTCCCATCCACACACAGAAATGAGAAACAAAGAAAGAAAGAAAAAAAATGTTTCAGGAAGCAAAGGAGGAAAAAACCCCAACCCCTGCTATCTCAGTAGCAGTAAGCTCATGCCTTTAGCTAAAAAGATCCAAACAAACAGATCCTGACATTTCCAGCTCCAAATCCAATCCCCAGCTCAGCGACCCCTACGTACTAATTGCTCACTCACTCCAGTAAAAACATCCGTCCATCTGCCTTCTTCAAATTTTTCCTTCTTTAGAAAGCTACTGCAAGCTCCTAAGACTGCCTGCCCTGACAACTGCATGCAGCTGAAAAAGCCTCCAGTCATCAATTGGGATGAAAAAGGAGGGAGGAGAGGAGGGAGGAAAGCAGAGAGAAAGGCAGAGAGAGGGTGCAGTTGCATACACTTCTTAGAGGAGTGCAACTTGGAGCAACAACAAAAACGCTGCCGCTGTTTCAAGGCTGTAGCAATATGGTATCTTCTAAAAAGCAGGCACCGGAGCTCCTGAGGTAGCAGCCGCAGACAGCAAGCAGTGCAGGCTACATACATGAATGCTCTCATGCAGGCTGTGCTGGCTCAGATCAATTAGTGCCAGCTAAGCCGTGCTGGCTGCACATTCCCTGATTTCCTGTGGTTGTTTTCTAGCTGGGCGTGGGGAGAGCAGAACTATTTATGGAGGAGCTCTGGGTATTAAAGCGCTGTTGCGCAAATCCAAATGGCAGTGGGGTTTGGCATCTCAGCTGGAAGCAGCGTGGACTCTGGGAAAAAGCCAAAAAATGCACAAAAGCATCCAATGACTGGCGGGGGGGGGAAAGGCGAAGAAAAAAAAAGGCAGAATGCTGTCAAGTAAATGATTCATTATTTAGCACTACCTTGAAGCAACTGCTGTTTGTCTCACCACTATTCAACCCGGCACATACCACACGTCGTGAGCACTTATGCAGAAATCACTGCCTTCCCCACAATCCAGATACACAGTGTGTGTGCCTGTCATAGTGCTTGATGACACAAGCAGTTTTGTCATTCTACAATAAATGAGTTGTAATGCCTCACCGAGGGCAGTAGGGTAAAGGAAGTAAAGGCAGTATAGAGCATGTATATAAACACAGTGTGGTATGTATAAAGCCACCAACAAACACAGAGCTATCTGAATTGACAGCATTACATTACTACATAAACTATTTAATCTTGGTAAGAACAGCTTAGTTGTAATTCTCTCAAATATAGTCTAGCAGGTAGTCAACATGCAGATTTCTCCTCCTGTGGGTGTCCAGATAATCTAGTTAGCAATCTGCATACAGTGATGTGTGAAGAAAGCGAGCCTAAAGAAAATAACTGGTACATTTGAAAATATTTTACTTGCAATGATTCTATGATTCTAAGCATGGCCAAACTGTACTAACTGTACTAAATCAATATCCTCAGTACATGCCACTAAGGCACATTTAATTTTTTTCATCTGCATAAAGCTAATGATGTGTTTGGTTTTTTTCCTCTTTGAGCACAGAAAAACAAGTAAGCTTCATGTACAGAAGGAAAAAATCTGCCTAGTAGACAATCATATGAATAAATGTTTTTATCTGGATTCAATGCCATAAATCCCTGCAACTAGATAGGGTGCTAGGGAATTTCACCTAGGCTCCCTTTCCAAGGAAAGGGCGAACCAGATGATCTTTCAAGGTCCCTTCCAACCTGTGCTGTTCTATGATTCTAAAAACCTGGATGATGAACATCCTGATATCTATAAAAAGTGTTCTACATTGTATTTGTAAAAGTTTTCCTTTCAATGTCAATAATGCGTCTTTTTGAAACACTGTAACAAAAGCAAACACTAGATGACAGTTTGCCAAGCACTAATAACTCGTACAGCTTGACACTAAATCTGATTACAAACGTGTTTACTGTGAGAGCTGTACATGGAAAAATGCTAATTCACCATTTAATATCTTTTAAGCTGCTTCCAGATTCAGAGGACTTAAATATTTCTTTAAAGCCCAGCAACAAATTATTTGCCAAGATCTAAATAGTCAGTGTACATTACAAACAGAAAGACTAGTCAGTGGCCAGAAACAGACAGGCAGTCTTCTATATGTACTAAAGAACAAACTGTACCAGCTGATAAACTGTATTTAAATTGCCAGTACGTAAGGCTTAAATAAGTTTCAAAATGGGTGCTATTTTTAATATCATCAAGAAATGTGGAGAAACTCACCTAGATCTTAAGGGAGCAACCTAAAAACACCATCTCACTACCACCACTGATACTAATTACAGTTAAGCGTCTTTCTATGAAGACTGTACAATTGTCTGACTTATTAAGACTCTTAAAAGGTATCTGAAGCAGGTATCAGAGCACTTCACAGATGGGTAAACATTTCCATTACAGATACATTACAAAGATCATATCCATGTCTTCTTCCTTCTAATATCACCTCAGTTGTTGGAAATACTTAAAAGCTTCTTAAAAAGCAGACCTGTGCTGTGCCTGCAGCTAGTCACTCTCCTTTCCTTGCTCACTGATGTAGCCTCTAGTACCATGAATAAATCACTAGGGGTCCTGAAGAACAATGGTGGAACAAACCCAGGAGACTCAAGAAAGCAGATGTTTTACCTTCTTTGTGTGAATGCTCCGAACTCTGAGTATTCCCATGACTTATTTTCCTATCTGATTTCCTGATGCCACCAGCTGCCAACCTCCAGGACAAAAATCAAGTAAGGGAGAACTATTGTGCTTTAGGTATGGATGTATCACAATTTCTTAAAAAGCAAAGGGGCAGCAAGTCGGTGATCTCCATAACTGTTTGCAGTCACAGAGTACTGCAGATATTACATAAATGACCACAGAAAGATCTTGAAAATAGGCACCTGAGTTGTGCTTTTTAGAAGCTGCTTCTGCAGTCATGCTTTGCAGGTACCAGTAACTACAAATCTCAGAAACTTGGGGAGATAAGTCAGCCGCTCTCATTCTCCCTGCTTTAAAGGAGATTCAGCATTAAGAGTAGCTCAAGCAGCTAGAAGTAAATTGCAATAGAAATATTTTTGAATACTGATCAGAAAGTTGCATTCAGTTTGATTACATGTGGATTCAAATAAATTTTATTTAAAAGGCTTCCCTTCCCTACATCCCATCATCCATTCTGGATCTTAGCTACTTCCAAGGGCAGATTATGAAGGCATCAAAAGCACTGAACATTCTTTCAGAACATGTGTTTCAAGGTATTTTTACTGCCTCATGGAGACTGAAGTCTGCTCAACTGGTAGCTAGGCCAAATTCCAAATAGTTTTCCTCATATCTTCTGAATGGAAAGGTGAGAAAGAGAGGAAGAGTAAGAAAGTCCCTGACCCCTCCTCATCCTGAATGAGCTGTTTATTATGAAAGGCATGTCTTTAAGCTGCCCTAAGCAAAGGGCTTACAGGGGACAAGGAATGTAAAACTACCCTGCAGGAATGTAACATTTTCTTGACCTTGTAATTCCTATATAATACAATTTCTGGATTAAGGCTATCTCTTGTCCTGCAGTTAAAATTCTAAATTTTAAAACTCTTCATAAGAAATGTATTTTAAGATTGTGATTTCATATTCAAATACACCTCCCCCAGACTACTTTAAAAGCTTAATGGGAGTAATGTGTGGCATGGCGATGACAGCACCTTCTCCACATGCAAGCTGGCATGGGAGGAACAAGGTGTTGCAAAATCCACTCCCCAGAAAATATATCAGCTCATAAGCAAGTGCAGGATCATTGGGGATTACTGACGCTCTGGGAGCAAAGCGGGAGATTCACCTAAGCCCAGTCAGAGCAGTGATCAAAGGCAGTACTGAACATCCCTTACAGAGGTTACATGTTTTCAGTGTCCCATGAACCTCTGCAGCTACCACACAGCTGGTCAAAGCCTTGATGCTTGTAAATACTCTTTTACCTTTACTGCTAGGTGGAAATAATACCTACCAGAAACAAAGACTTTCAAAGGCAATAAATTAATAGTGGCTTTTGTTTTTAAAAACACACAAGAGGAGGGCAGTTTGAAAATATTATCAGCCCTCAAGACAACTCCAGACAGACAAAGAAACCAGACATTGTTCACAGATGTTTTACTGTGATCCTCTAAAATGGGTACACAACTGAGGGAGAGGTACTTCAGGTAACACTTCCTAGCATTTTAAATGCTTGGTTGTCTAGAGGACGGAAACCCAAAAGAACCAGTGACTGCAAAGGTGTTCACCTAACCAAATCACAAACTTTGCTTTGCTGAACAGTTAAGATGAAAATCACCATAAAGCAAGTGCAGGAAGTGGGTATTGAGCAGAAAGAGAAAGCCAGGGAAATAACTGTTGCCATCAATGTCACATGTCTCCTCCTGACATCCATCCCAATCACCAATCCTTTGAGAGACGTGAGAGCTGATCCAGTTTTCTAGGACAAATGGATCACAGACACCTATGTTCAAAGACAACAGGCCACGTGGGGATATCATCAATAAAAAGGCCAAATGATTTTAGAGAAATCAAGAGAGATTAGCTCATCTTACTACCCTGGGAAATAACCAATCACACAACCTGTTTGTAGTGATTAACAGGGGAACTAGGTGTTACTTAAACTGAAGTGCTGACTTCTGTGATGCTTCCCTTTTTTGCAAGGAGGGACCAAAGAGATTGAAGCAGATGCTTTCAGGCTCCTCTGCGGTTGAGAGGCTCCCTAAATTATGTAAATAAAAAACAGAAGGAAGGGAAAGAAAAAGCAAATGCTAACTTTGTTTCTTTAGGAGAAACAAAATTTCACAGAACTATATGCCTAACTACTTGTTTCTCCTCAATAAAAAGCCCATATAGAGACCACAAAATGGAAACACAAAACCCAAAAAATACCAACCTGAGAGTGCCTGACAAAAACCTCATCGTTTTCACTTTCTTTGCTACAAAAAACAAAACAAACCAACATATTACAAATGCAAAACCAGATTTGTAACAAAAACAAGCAGGACTTCTGCAAACACAGGTTTTTAGATTCTTGCTACTGCTGCACACTTAATTCATTCAGTAAATAAAGGGACACTTTGGGCTGAAGTGTTTCAGGCTGCTCAATTATGTATTTTGCTTCCTCTCAGAAGCTATTTGTTAAAAATATAATGTAATTTAATTTCAGTGCCCCAGTACTACTCTCCCAACAAACATAACTGTGGAGAGAAATTGTCATTTCAGATGATCAGAGCAGGGATGTACAGAAGAGCGAACCACAAAGAAAAGGCTGGACTGCCAACCCAAAGACCTGGTGAGACAGGCCCTGCAGTCCCCTGTGTGGACTGTGCTGGTTCAGGTGCTTCACAGCTGACTTCTTTTTAAGTCTGTGCCATCAGTATCTTTAGTGCCATTCCTAACAGGCTGGGAGAAGGTCTTGGTGGTACGTGCTGCTGGGAAGAGCCCACACAAAATATGCAGTGGCTCTGTACAGTTCTACTTTGAAACTAACAAGGTGGGTAATGCTGTTGTGGAGCTTAACTAAATCTCTCCCTCATAAGTCTGCAGTGGAAGATCTCTTAGGTTGCACTACAATCAGAGGGAAAATAAAACATACAGGCATTGGGAAAAAAAAATAATTAAAGAATCACCTTTCTTCAGATAAAATTTCCATGTCATCAGGTCCTGTTCTGTCTATAGGCCTGGATGAGCTAAAGTTTTCCATACTCTGAAATACAGTAAATTTTAAAGCAGTAAGATACATAAGAAAAACAGATTCAAGTTGCAGGCCATTAGAAAGATCAAATAAAGAAATATCCAACGGGACTTCTAGAAACAAGACAGCAGAATACTGCCTGCTGCACATTTATAATAAAACAAAACCCACACTTGATCGCCCATAACCTTCAAAAAACGCAGCTGCTCGCTGCTTTGTCTCTTTCATCAGACAACCTGAAAATGTCTAGCAATAATTCTGCATGGTACCTCAGCACTTCCCATTTTACAGACTGACAGCCTAAGCTTGAGAGGAATTCTGTGGTGTGTACAAGTCCTGTATGAACAGGTACCAAAATCGACAGCAGGACTTCTAATGGTCATCCTAGAAAAATACTCCCCTTGTCAGCGAAACCCTTCCCTGGTTTCTTCTTAAATGGACAGAAGAATGCAAAGAGACTACCATATGCACAAAGGTAATGTTGTGTTAGCAGGAAT